TCCAGATTCATTGAGTCTGACCCAATGTAGTGGTTAAGACGATAAAGAGGACTGAAGAGAACCAGGATCAAATCCATACTCAAGCTTAGAAAATTTGAGTCACTCTCAGCACTCTAAGGTAGAAGATTGAGCCTGTGAGCAAGAGTTGGAGACCAAATGCTGCTGGCAATGTTGGTGAGTCTTGGTTGAAATTCCAAAATATCTGGAGCAAAATAGAATAGAGCTGGAAGGGACCTTGGAGGTCTTCTAGTCCAACCCCCTGTTCAAGCAGGAGAACCTAATACGATCTCAGACAAGTGACTGTCCAGCCTCTTCTTAAAAACCTCCATTGATGGAGTGCCAACAATTTCTGAAGGCAACTGTTACACTGGTTGATTGTCCTCGCTGTCAGGAAGTTTCTTTTTAATTCCAGGTTGCTTCTCTCTTTGATCAGTTTCCAACCATTGTTTCTTGCCCTGCCCTCTGGTGCTTTGGAGAATAATGTGACCCCCTCTTCTTTGTGACAGCCCCTCAAATACTGCTATCATGTCTCCCCTATTTCTTCTTTTCTTTAGATTAGCCAAACCCAAGTCTTGCGACCATTCTTCATATGTTTTAGTCTCCAGGCCTTTAATCATCTTAGTTGCTTTTCTCTGAATTTTTTCCAAACTCTCAACATCTTTTTTGTGATATGGTGACCAAAATTGGCTGCAATATTCCAGATGTGGTTTTACTGGGGTTGTATAAAGCGGTACTAATACTTTGCGTGATCTTTTCTATGCCTCTGTTTATACAACCCAGGATTGTATTGGCTTTTTTTGGCTGCTGCTGCTGCACACTGCTGGCTCATAGTCAAGTAATCGTCCACTAGGACTCCAAGGTCCCTTTCACAGTTAATGTTTCTAAGCCAGGTCTCATCTAATCTGTACTTGTACCTTTGATTTTTCCTGCCTAAAACTTTGCTTTTCTCCACATTGAAACTCATTTTGTTGGATAGAGCCCATTGTTCAAGTTTGTCAAGATCTTTTTGAATCCAGAGTTTGTCTTCTGGGGTGTTGGCTACTCCTGCCAGTTTGGTGTCGTCTGCAAATTTGATGAGTTCCCTTTCAATTCCTTCATCTTCTAAGTCATTGAAGAAGATATTGAAGAGTACTGAGCCTTGTGGTACCCCATTGCTTACTTCTCTCCATGTGGATGTAGTGCCATTGAGGACTACTCACTGAGTATGGTTTGCCAGCCAGCTACAGATCCATCTTGTGGTGATGTTGTCTATTCCACCTTTTTCTAAGCTTTCTAAGGAGTAGGTTGTGGTCTACTTTATCAAATGCCTTACTGAAATCTAATTATACTACATTCACAGCATGCTGGCTTAGGAATTCTGGGAGTTGAAGTCCACGAGTCATAAAAGAGCCAAGGTTGCCTACCCTTGTCCTAGGTTCTTAGGAAGAACTCAGTGTGGATGAAGGCTAACCCCAGCTAAAGTATTGGCAGCTATGATTTCACATTGTTGGGTACATAATAATAAATCACACAAGTCTCCTGATACTTAAGATTCTTCTTTGTAACTTGCCACTATAGGACACATACCTATTGGCAGTATGAATGATGATTTTTTTCAATTTTCATTATTGATCTCTGAAGTTTACTTATAACTGAGGCCAAGTTAACTCTATCTAAGATACCCTTCTGAAGCTGGCAAAGACCATTTTATTCAGATAGAGAGTTTTTTTCATTATGAGCTGATTTAACCTGCACGTGCTGTTTCTTTTTTCTTTTTAATTCAGCTATGCTATCTTTAGTTTTATGTTTTAATATTGTTCTGTATTTTAACTATATCTTTTATACTGTATGCTTATTTATTTGAATGCTATTGTTCACGGAAAAGCAATACAGCATATAAAAGTAAAAAGTAAATTAACTATATTTATTCCCACATTTTGCATTCTTCCTAAACCTACTTAGAAACTTAAAGCACTTAAATAATATGTAACAGAAATATTCATATATTTGAGAATACTTCAGCAATGATTCTTAACTGCTTAGGCAACACAGTTCCTAAGTTATGTAGTGCTAGTACTACAATTTAATATAATTGCATTTGAAAAAAAGCTTATTAAAAAAGCAAAAATATATCCTGTATCAATAAGCATGTACTGTATATAAATATATACGTAAAGTCACAAATCTATCTTTTTTTTCATTGCTGTAACCTCTAGTCTTGACCCACTAAAATTTGGCCACAACTATAAAAATATAGTTATAACAAAAGAGCTCTCAAATGCCTTTGAGACATTGAAAATTAAACTTTATTCTACATCCTGATTTTTCTCTAAATAATATCAGTGTTTCTCAACTTTGGCTACTTTTAAGACATGTGGACTTCAACTCCCAGAATTCTCCAGCCAACATGTGTTTTAAAGTCTCCAAGGTTGAGAAACACTGATGTTATTTTCCTGTAACTGAACAGACTCTACCTCTCATTTAAATGGCATTGCAGCATAAAATAAAATAACCATCCCAGTAAAAGAACAAATTTTACCTAAATAGGGAGTAAAGAAACCTAAAGCTATTAACTTAGGGCTGACCTTCAGCCCCATGTTCAGGGCCATTGAGCAGTGAATAAGAGATACTGAAGGGGAAAGGCAGCACTATGCAGAGCAGGCATTTCCCCCCTCCCCCCCCCATAAATCCTGTGCAATGTTTATTGCCAAATCATTTTAAATATTAAGAGTGACCTTTCTATTTGCAATTTCATAGTTCTGTCATTTCTGTCAAGAGCTAGCTTTTCTTATTCAAATATACTTTAAAACACCTTAATTAAAGGTGCTCAGTGAATAGAAGTATGTGAAATATACATTTGATATTTCATGTTATCATTTAGAGAGCACGAATGGAAATCTGTTATAATTACAATACGTTGGCTTTTATAGCAGGACTCTCAGCTCACTAAAAATCATACCGTGAGGGGCTTTTTAGTTGATCTTCTTAGCATTTGTCTTGATCCTTTGCAGGGCCTGCTTGTTCGGCACTGTACTTGCCTAACTCTTAGAGTAAAACTTACCAATGCATGATGCAGCAAGGGCAGGGGAAAGGTTGTTCCTCGCTTGTCCCAGAGCCTGATGATAATTAGGGCTGAAAGAAAGTGACTGGCCCAAAGTCACCCAGATGGCTTCTGTGCCTAAAGAAAGACTAGAAACTAGGTCTCCCCACATCTACTTCAGCACATTATCTCCAACCCAGGCTAGCTCTCAAATTTTGTTTTTCTTTAGTAGAGACACTTTTGTTTTAAAGGGATATTACAATACAATATGTTTACAGTACAATTTGCAGAGGAGGACAACTTTTTGGTGGTTGGAACCTCACCTACCATTCCTTGGGTAGTTGCAGAGAGCAAGCAATGGCAGGATTTTGTGGGTGGTTTCCTTGGAGGTGTGTGAGAAGTGTGCTTTCTCTCCTTTTTTCCTACTGATGATCCTATTTTAGAGTCTACACTGCCCCCGCATTCAAACAACATCACTGCTTCTCAGTACTGTGATCTGGAGGCTGGACCCAACACAGATTCAAGTCATATGCAATCCAGAGCCTTAGATTATCCAATTTCCAGTAAATTATTTAGTGCTTTACAGACCCACAGATCTGTTGCTTTTATGAAGAAAAGATTACACATCCCTGTTTAAAATACGATTTTTAATGACCAAGCAAAAGACTTTCTGCAGTTATTAGGGGGCATTCCTCAACCTTCCCTTCTATTTCTAGACAAAAAGCAGGCTCAAATAATAAAACAGGTTTAGTAACTGAGGAGGCTAAGTGGATGTAAATTTCCACTCAGCCATTTTTCTCCCTAGGATAAAACAAGCATCAGTCCTGGGGTGGGAAAAATACCACATATCCTGTTGGTTGTGTTTTACAAGTTTGAACTGAAAAGTGTGATAAATCAAGCATTGGGAAAAGAATTGCACAAGCTGAATCATTAATAAACAGGATTAATAACACATGAGATCCTCAAATGCGTTGCAGGGTTTCTTCATGTCATAGCAAGACTGTTCATTTTTGAAGTTCTCTTCAGACTTTTCCTTCACAAATCAACTATTCTCTCTGCTCCACTTTTCCAACTTCTACTTTTCTTTTTTCTTTTTTTAATCTGATATTTATTCTACCAAATACATTCGGTATGCCTCTCTAAGCTTCTGTCCTCTCACGCCTACCCGGTGCTTTTTTTTATTTAAAAAAAAAGGGGGGGTACTGGAACTCACACACGTCATACAACCGGCCTTGCCTACCCTACAAAGTTCCATCCAAAAAAGGTGCCGGAACTCCGTTCTGGACATTCTATGAGAAAAAAAGCCCTGAGCCTACCTATTTTTAAATGTGAAAGACTGCCCTCACTTTTCTTTATCAGTAGCCCTGTTATGGCTATCACCACCTTTGAAAGTCCAATTCATTATTAAATGAAGAGAAAGTAGAAAAATGATAACATACAACATGTTCCTCAGTCTGAACAACATATATTTAAAAACTGAATTAAATCACTATGGATTATAGGCAGCCATAAGTTCTATCTATCTATCTATCTATCTATCTATCTATCTATCTATCTATCTATCTATCTACCTAGCTACCTACCTACCTAGCTACCTACCTACCAGCTATCTATCTATCTATCTATCTATCTATCTATCTATCTATCTATCTATCTATCTATCTATCAACAAACAAACTAGATTCACTTCAAAACCACAATCCTGCAAACAGCTAGATTTATTTCCATATCCATTTTTGGTACAATTTATTGAAGGAAGTCCTAAATTTTTATTTCTCTTGGTTATAATGCTCATCATCAAAGGATTTAGAACAGGTAACTTTAAGATTTCCCTGGCTGAAGAATTCTGGGGGTTGAAATCCACAGATCTTAAGATTGCCAAATTTAAAAAAAAATGATTTAGAGAATTAGGTCAGCACATCTAGCAGGGCTGAAAAAATAAGATATGCAACACACGCAGCACATTATAGCTGTAACCTACCTCAGGAGCCATCCAAAATGGTGTCCCAACTGAAGTGTTTCTCCTCAGCCTGGTACTGGTGAGCTGTGCAGAAACACCTGTAATAAGAAAAGACATTCTGAACATTTGCTGGCTAGCTCATTTACTTTTCCATACAATGCCTGAGAGAAAAATCGATGTCAATAGATTTGCATGTTTTCCTAAGTGGGGCAGAATTTGCAAGCTAGACAAGTTTAACTTAAATGTTTTTGGAGCTGGCCTGCTGCTAAATAGTTTAAGAATTACTTAAGGCAGAAGAACTGACTACAATTCTGGGAGGAAATAAGGGCAAAAGAAAGAAAGAAAAAAATTCTGTGGAACACAGTCAATTTTTTTATCACTAAAGCTGTGCACGAAACTTTCATAACAGATTCTGCAGCCTGAACAGTTTAAAAGAATCCCATGTAGCTCAAGATAATCCTTTACTTAAGGAACCCAATTGAAGTTCTTATTGCAGCCCTCTTATTATTCTGTTCTCATCCTGCACTTTGGACATTTGGTATCAGCAGAGTACAGGTAGTCCTCAACTTACAACAGTTCATTTAGTGATGGTTCAAAGTTACAATGGCACTGGAAAAAATAACCTCTGACCGTTTTTCATACTTATGACCATTGCAGCATCCCTGTGGTCATATGATCAAAATTCAGATGCTTGGCAACTGACTCATATTTATGACGGCTGCAATGTCCCAGGGTCATGTAATCACCTTTTGTAAACTTCTGACAAGTGAAGTCAATGGGGAAGCCAGATTCACTTAACAACAACAAGTTAGTTGTTACTAATTCAACAACTGCAATGATTCACTTAACAACAGTGGCAAGAAAGGTCGTAAAATGGGGCAATTAATAAATGTCTCACTTAGCAACAGAAATTTTGCACTCAACTGTGATCGTAAGTTGAGAACTACCTGTATTGCAATTGTGGAGGTCACAGTCTTCCCCAGGAAATTGGGGAAGGTCTAGAGATTCATCCATTAAAAAGCAATAATTGAGAGAATGTAGGTGATGTGGCAACCATTTATAGAATGTTATTTGAATGTTTATATTTTCTGTAATTCTCACACATCTTCCATGTGAAGATTCTGTAATAGTTCAAAAGCAACCCCAGGCTTCTATGATCCTGTGACATTGACTCAGTTCAGTAGCTGAGCTAAATTTATTTCTGGCTCAGCTTCAGTGAAGCCCAAATTGGGGGGGAGGGGGGGGACCCACAGCAGCATGTTCTTTTCTTTGTGGAATAAATCCCTGCAGACCTTGTACTTGGTTAGCAGCTCTATTGAAGTTCTTGCTCACTTCTTCTCCAGGCTCCTGAATTTCAGCCTTTCTACCAGGTCTTTCCCATGGGATGCTGCCTTGATCTAGCCAAGAGTTATTCACTAGCCTTACCCTCTTCTCTTAGGCAAAGATTTGCTGCAGACTGCTTGGATTTTTAAATATTTTTTCTTTCTCTTTTGTTTGAAGTCGGGGATGAGACAACCCGGTTACTGCAGTGAATTAGATAACAGCAGGATTGTGCAAATGTCCTTGCAATGCATTCAGGTCCTTGTAGCCTAAAAGGTAGCCTAAAAAAAGTTAGACTTCTCACTTCCATTTAAGATCCTAATGCAGGAACAACCTAGTGCTTAGCTACAAAACTGAAGACGTATCATGTTTCCTTAACAACTTTCAAAGGGATCTTCATTACAGGAGGAACGATGGCCTGATATTGATAATCAGGCAGCTTCATCCTAATTTTACTGAAAAGCTGTGTCTTTCATTTCCTTTCAGTACTTTGGTCATCACAATATAAAAAAGATGTTGAGAATCTGGAAAGAGTACAGAGAGGAGTGGCAAAGATGATTGGGGGGCTGAAGGCTAAAACATATGAAGAACAGTTGCAGGAATTGCATATGTCCAGTTTAATGAAAAGAAGAACTAGGGGTAACATGATAGCAATGTTCCAATATTTAAAGGGCTGCCTTAAAGAAGAGGAGGGGGTCAAACTATTTTCCAAAGCACCTGAAGGCAAGACAAGAAGCAATGGATGGAACAAAGAGAGAAGCAACCTAGAACTAAGGAGAAATTTCCTGACAGTAGGAACAATCAACCAGTGGAACAATTTGTCTTTAGAAGTTGTGGGTGCCCCAACTGGAGGCTTTTAAGAAGGGACTGGACAACCATTTGTCTAGTGTCTCCTATTTGAGTAGGGGTTGGACTAGAAGATCTCCAAGGTCCCTTCCAACTTTGTTATCCTGTTATTCTTTTTTGTGTAAATTGAAGGGGATTTTGGGGGGGGGGAATTATCCAGTGTGTGTACTGTAGTTGTCTCACTAGTAGATACTGTTGATTGGATACTGTTTTTGACAGATTCCTATTGATCAGTTGAAGGAGAGGAATGATTGGCTTGCTGGTTTATCACCATTCCAAGGTCAGTAAGAGTGAAGATGATTGGCAGATCAATTTCAAATTCTACTGGAAGAGTTTGAAAGTGATTTTCTCTCATTTACCCTTGGTTAGTTGATTTTTTTAAAATGGCTATGTGCTCTGCTTTGTACTAATAAAGTTCATATTACATGTTCCAAACATTTCTGTAAGGCTATATAGGTACTGTACATGAGGTTAAAAAAAAAACCCTCAGACTTTTCAGTTTTGAAAGAGGGCACTAGAAGTTTTCAGAACTTTCAGCAAACTGCAAATCCCCACATTCTCTGACAAAAACTGATAAAAAGAAAATAGATTGTATCAGTTTTGCTCTGTCTATACACCCCACACATACACACTGAAATCTAAAAGACCGCTTGTTTTAGATGTGAACTTAACTGATAGTGTTAATAAAGTTGTACAATGAATATTGCCTTTAATTCCAATTTAAGCGTGTCATGGTTCTGACAGATGAAACTCTTCAAAAGAACTTCAAGGCATTGTTTACCTTAAAGAATCTTTATTTTGAGTAGCATAATATTGGCACTGCATAATCGAAGCCAAAAAACTGAATTCCCCTCCCCTGAGCACATAGTATCAAAGCACAATTCCCTCCTTCAATTAACAGTCATACATCACAGTCCCCAATTAGTGTGAAGCGCAGGCCTCCTCTCCTGTTCTCCAGCCCTCCAATTCCTTATCAGCTCTGGTTACAATAACCTTATTTCTCATGCTAGGTTTAGTGTTGTTATGTCTAGCTGGACTCTCATTCACATCCTCCCTCCCAGCATCATCTAACTCTAAAAGCAAAAGGTAAAAGATGGCTACATTTCCCTCTGTTGTCAATGCAAAAACATCTGATGTTAGCAGCATTGACAAAGCGTTTGTTTTGCAAAGTACACAAATTTCATTTTAGGAAATAAGTGACTATTCGTACTATAGAAGTGCTATAAATATGTACCATATACACACACACCAGGTGGTAACGCCTTCCAACCCCATGACTCCTTTTATATACCTCCTCTCTCTAAATGAAGTACAGCTAATTTCACAAATACCTTCCCACTCTTGCTTCATTTTGATCTTGTATTCCTCTGTGAGAATTCAACAAGGCAATTATGTGCAAAACACAGAAAAAACTTACTATAGTGACGTTATTCTCTTTCTAGCCTCTTTTTTTTCAGACCAGCATTGTTTGTTTTGGCATTGATGCCTATTTCCTGCTGCTCACTCCAGCAGCTAGTGTTAATTATTGCCCTAGGAAGGTGGAATCAGATAAATAGTGATTTCTACCCTTTATTATTTGCTGTTAAAGAAGTTAGTAATTAAGCTGTTGCTTTAGTCCAAGTGCTTGTCCAAGGTCTACTTAAAAATGGGCCCTCCTGCTGCATTACACATTGATAGTGAATTTCTGGCCTCCAGGTCACAAGTGGCATCTGCTCTTGAGTTCATTTGTTTTTGTGGTACCAGCGAATTGGATGGATTGTGATGGTGAAAATTTATTCAAATTGCAGGCTAACCTTTTCACTAAGTTTAGTCCAACTTCTTCCCAAGTGACACTGAAAGAAGATGATAGCCTTATTTTTGTTACAGTGGTACTGGTTTTAAGCTGTGATTCTTTTTTCAATTATTATTATTTGACTTTATTAAAAAAAACCAGCAAATTTTCTTGGAAATAAAGTCACCAGCTTCTTTCATCTGGCTTTATATAATGGCTTTTCAATTTTAATCATATACAAATATAACTGCTGTACTTGCAAATTCAAATGTTAGTTTTTGGGCCCAGAGTACCATTTTACTTTTCAGCTAAGAGGGAATAAATGTGATGAAAGCTAATTGAGAGCAATATCCTTTTTTCATATGCACAAAAGAAAGTTTATACCCTGAACTGGGGGGGAGGGAGGGAGGGAGGGAGGGAGGGAGGGAGGGAGGAAGGAAGGAAGGAAGGAAGGAAGGAAGGAAGGAAGGAAGGAAGGAAGGAAGGAGGGAGGGAGGGATTACCAAAGTCAACAAGCTTGACTCCTCCTTCCATTGTCAGCAGAATGTTGTTCCCCTTGACATCACGATGAATGATGCGATTGTTGTGCAAATGTTGAAGACCCTATGTGTCCACAATGAGAAAAAAGGAGAAAGAAAAATGGATCTTACTCATATATTTATATAATGTAACTAACAGGAAAAGAATCTGTACCTGCACTTTAAGAACTTCAGCTCACTATATCACAGCCTCAATACAAACCCCTGCTGCAATAAGCAGACACCATTTTCCCCCTTTTCCTGTAAAGTGTATCAGAATGGCTAAATTGCATCCTATTTTATCATTAGAAGCAAAATGGGTATCCTTACCAAAAGGGCACCTCTTAAGATGTATGAGATTATTGCTTCATCCAACTTTTGGCCATTCTTCAGTAGGCCTTTGACAAGGTCTGTGACAGAGCCTCCATTACACAGCTGTTAAAGGGATAGGAGAGGAAAAAAGGGAAATGAAGCAAGGCATCCCTTACTCAACAAGCTTAATCCCTATAAATCTGCAACTACTTGCACAGAAAGTAAAGGAAATCAGTCATTACAAATGTTCCCAGCAGCTATTTCCAAATAATAGCTAGGATATGCACACTTTTGGATTTCCAACATGACATCTTTATTGTGAAGGCATATTAATGTGCTAATTACATTTTCTTGCATGGACAAGAAGGAACATTAAACCTGTGTTTACCTTTAGGCAAGTTTTCTCCAAACAGGTGACTTCAAGATATATTAGTTATATTAGACTACAATTCCCACTATTTTACTGAAAGCTAGGAAGGCTAGGCCAGTGACCAGAGAAGGCAGATTTAGGCCTTGCCCAGTCATCACAATTCAAGAGTGACTCTTAGTGCAGACGTTCCAATAAGCAATGATAAGGATATAAGGCAATTAATAGAATTCTCTTACAAAGTTTTCTATCTAAATATATTCCAACTGATATTTTTTTAAAAAAAAATTCTTTTACAATCGTTTGCAGTTATCTTGGATTAGTGGATATTGTTGTGATCTGCTGACAGGCCTGAATCTAAAATAAAAGAAGTAAAAACATTGACAATAAAAAAAAATCTGGGAAACACAGGACTATAATAGACCAAGCCCATCAAGTTCAGTATTGTCTACCCTAACTCATATGGCTGTAAAGGCCACAAGCAAAGATTTTTCTTAGTTTTCTTCTATTTACTGGTGGTAAATACATAGGGATGCAGTGGTTAGGATGCAGTATTGCAGGCTGACTCATCCCACAGCCTAGAGTTTAATCGTAACGGGGCTCACAGTTGACTCAACCTTCCAATGAGGACCCAGATTGTTGGGAGCAATATGCAGACTCTATAAACCACTTAGAGAGGACTGTACTGTAAAACACTATGAAGTGGTATAGAAGTGCTATTACTATTGCTATTGCTATTACTATTTTCACTTTGCTGGAGATATTAAAAGATATTAAAAAAATTTAATAGTTCTTTATTTTCAGTGTTTTAAAAACTCAGATCTGTACAGTCACAATAGCCAGCAATGTCTTTATGAACCTGTTTTTTCAAAACTCTTTTCATGCAAAGGAAAGTACAGGGGCTCTCTCTTTTTCTGTTCTATATACATGATGCATTTGATAGCTGGGAAGCAGCAAATTACAGTCATTTGAAATGTTCGCTCTATCATTGCTGCTGTTAGCAGGCAGTATAAGATAGACAACAGACATCTCTCTCTATGCTCAGCCTTGATGTCTGTTCTGCTAACAGCTAAGAAAAAAACTTTCAGATGTAGAAAAGCACAGCCTTTTGTAAACATGCTCTCATTACTTGCATGCCATGTATTTAAAGGAACAGAAAGGGGAAAAAAGTAGAGATTAAAACCTTTCTAAATGTACATTTCTATATTATTAAACACCCTTATATCTCCCACAATGATATTTTTATCCACAATCTATTTCTTTTTCTGCATTCTATTCACTAGAAGCATGCTAGTGGTAGAAAGTGCTAATGTCCTAAGCCAGGAGTATACAACTTCTCTCCACTTCTTGGCCTCTAAAGGGGACAGGGGCAACATTTGATGTAGGTGTTGACTTAAAACATCCAATATATTTCTTCAAAGCTCCTCTGAGGGTCTGTTTACTACTGGGTTCATTACAACCTTTATGTTGGATGGAGGAGACTGTGGAACCTTTTGAGGCAGGTTGCAATATTTAGCTTGACTTCATTCTGGGAAAACAATCTGGTTTAAATCTTTTTAACTACCTTAATCACACATCTGGCTTTGAACAAGGCAGTTCATGTAAGCTTATGCTGGAGAGAACCCAAGTGACCTGGTGTGTGGCAGCAAAGCTTATTTCTTGATGTTTCATCCTGCCAGGCACCATGCTCTTCTCTGCTGAGATGGACAAAGGTCAGCATTGCTTGTGATGTCTGTGTCTGTATAAAATGGAATCACTTACCAAGATTTATGGACTTTTGTATTGTTTAGAGACAAGAGCAGGTGAACTACTTTTTTTAAAGAAAAGGTTGTATATAATACATCCATTTCAAACCGTTCTCAAGAAAAAAGCAAATATGATCACAACCAAGCCCTTTGTATTATTGTTAAGTCTACTTTTCCCTCTGAAATGCTAACTGCACCCCCTAGGCACCAAAACAATACTTACCTTGATTGATATCATGACAGTTGCCTATTCTAATAAAAGTAACATTTCTCCACAGCAGGACAAAAGGTCATTAGCTATACATCAGAGATTGACTCATATATACAAATATAGGGAAAGATAAGTACAGCATAATAAATACAATAGAAGTCAAAGAAGGGGAGGGGCCAAATGATCTATAGTATTTGTGAAAAGGTGGAATGATGTCCCTGAAATAGGGTTCAAGATATAATCAAGCTGGGGCAAGGAATGATATGTGCATGATGATATAATCAGTCAAATACCATGACTTACATACCTGCCTCAGACATATTGACACAAATATGTAATTGTGGCCTTTGTATGTCAGGGCCTGCATCATTATTTGATGTTATCACAGTTATTGGCATCATTTTTATTGTGACTGTTGCATTTTTAATTAGTATAATGCTATTTTGGCTCATTTTATTTGAGACTAGAAGATAAATTATTTCCACTTATGACCTAGGTTGTTTTTTTCCATAGCAGTTGACAATAGTTAGCTTTGGCTCACCTTAAACACTAAATAGTTATTATTGGAAAGAAGACAAGCAGGAAACTCCAGGATTACAAAGGGAAAAGAACATCTCAGGAGAAGGGAGTAGCAAACCACCATCCTGTTGCCCTTCTAATTGACCAAGAATCAGACCCAGTTTGAGGGATGTTTTCTTCTGTCTTCTACTTATTTGGGGTTTGTTCTCATAACTGAAATAGAATTCTAGGAATTTAGATGGGCAGCACTTAAATGCTTATCTGAGCTTTCACCATCTTGGTTTCTTCCAGATGTGCTAGATACATTCGCTGCCAACCCCAGTTAGAGTACGATTGGCCATGCTGGCCAAAAAGAGATGGCAATTTCAGTCCAACTTTTCTCAAGGGCACCATGTTGCAGCAATTTGGTTTAGGTAATAGGCCTTCAGTTATGATGGATCCAGGTGTTTAAAAAGATCAGGAGCATGGAAAATATTGCTAGTGATTTATAATCCTGGCAGAATTATGATTCCCTGGGGACAATTAAAGACATTTACCATGCAATTTTATCTATGCCCATAAAGGTTCGTTTTATTAAGTTCACAATGGAAAGAAGATATAGTTTCACCAAAGAAAGTGTTGAAAGCCTCATCTGCAAGGAATACAAGTTGGAAAAATAACACTTGCTGCCCACAGATAACACTGCACATCCTGATATTCACAGCTTCTGGAGCAGGGGTATCAATATCTTCATTCCACCATGGCCATTGGCTCTACTTTTGGTGGGGCCATCTTCAGTCTGCCATTTCTTCCTCTGGAAGTCCAGATTTTACTTTTCAGAATTACATTCAGCTGCAAAAATGCAAACTATAGAGAAGAAAGATCACCTTCTTTTGCTCCATCTTGACCTCTCTGAATTGTCAGGGAAAGCCAATGACGATACAACAGATCAAGGAGCACAACATGTTTGTTGGAGGAATGAAAAAAACTTGGCAATACTCTGTCAGCTGTTGCACAGGGAAATGTTTCTGCAGCTGCCAGGTATCCAACCTTTCCTACAACTCAGGCCAAATTAAACATGGAAAGCAATGCAAAACAGCCACATGGGAGGGAGTATACCTGCAACAACCTAAATTGTTAGGCATATCCCAACTGCTGATCATCTTAGCCATCAGATGGTCAATGAAGCATGCCAGATTGTATTCATGATGAAAACTGTATTAGGAGAAGAGGAAAGGCATTTTTTTAAAACCACAACAACTAAATATAAGTTGCCTCAGTTGTGGGCTAGGGATAAGAGAAAGGCAATGTTAAAAGAACATGACAGAAAGAGGTTGTTATAGTTATGGTCAATGAGAAAAAGCCTAGCATCTGACCCTAGTTACTCAGCTTTATCCTTCAAACTGTACCCTATTTTGATTTTTTTTTAATACACTAACACTCTTACAGTATTACCTTCATGTGAGACATAAATAGTATTTCCAAACTCGGTGCATAATCTAGCTTTATTCTGAATTTTCTGCATGAATGTGTCCCCAGAGCAATGCCATTTGAGATTAATTGCTTTATATGTTTATTGAAAGATTCAGTTCTAGTACAAAAGGACCATTTCTGCAGGAAGAACTCAGCAAATCCAGAGTCAGATTACTTATTTAGTGCAAGTGGATAGGGCTATGATAAAAAACAAAAATTGATTTCACTTATTTTACAAATTATTTGCAGCCAATATAATCACTGCCCTTCTTGTACAGGTACTGTAGTCCTCAATTTGCAACAGTTTGTTTAGTAGCCATTTGAATTACAACAGTGCTGAAAAAAAATGACATGACCATTTTTCACACTTATGACCATTGCAGCATCCCCAAGCTCATGTGATCAGAATTCAAATGCCTGGCAACTGACTCATATTTATGATGGTTGCAGTGTCCTAGTGTAGTGGAAAACTAGATATATTGACCTTCCTGCCCACCTCACTAGGGCCATGTGATCAACTTTTGTGACCTTCTGACAAGCAAATTCAATAGGGAAGCCAGATTCACTTAACAAAACTCATTTAACAAATGTCTCATTTAGCAACAGAAAGTTTGGGCTCAATTATGGTCGTAAGTCAAGGACTATCTGTATTTAATGAATCTGCCCTTCATTCATGTTAAAAGATTCAGTTGAACAGCCACTTCTAGGAAAACTTTGGAGGTCACATTCAAGATCTTTGAGCAGTGCATACATTGTGTCTCTTTCTTTCTAAACAAAGCCCCTGTTTGATGAAGTGAAGGACCATGACTTTCTCCACTACAACAAACATGCATTAGGCTTTTTTCAACTACACAACACTTCTTCTCATTAAGATTTGGCAATCCAAATTATCTTACCTCAAGAACAAGCCAGAGCTGTCCACCCACATATCGATCTGCTTTGTAAAACATTCCATAAAATTTAACCACATTGGGATGATTAGGAAGAAACTGTAAGATATTATACTCTGCTTCAATCTCCTCGTCCATGTCCTAAATTGGAGAACACAGAGCACACACTTTGTAAGTATCACTAGGAAGAGAGAGCCCCCAAATTTGGTTCCGCTAGAGATACTATCAGCTCTTCTGAAGATGACATGTGCAACCTTCCAGTGGATCTGGAGTGCAAATGACTCAAGGAAAATTATAAAACTTCCTATGGCTTTAGAATTATATTGCAAAATATTAAAATATTGAGAGCTATTCAAGCAATAATAAAAACATGTTAGTTTGTGAACCATCTGGAGTATTGAAGTATTTGTATTGTTACAGACAAATAATAGATGGCAAGTCTTATTTAATGCTGAGCTTCTTTGTTCAACACAATTGTGTTTTACTTCTGTTATCTGAATTGCAATCACATTCCTCTAACTTTTAGTTGCCTTGAACTATGAGATGGGCAGCATATAAATTTAATAAATAAATAAACTTTTTACTTCCACTGAACCATTTTATGTTCTTCTTAACAAAACCTCCAATTTGACTCAGTTTTACTCATATAGTGTCATTTTTTTAAAAGCATTGTTAAAAGTCAGCCTTTATTTCAAGCAAAGACCTTACTTCCAATATCTTAGAAAGCTAAATAAAATATTAAAAATATTTTCAAAACTTTGACCATCAAAATAACCACACCAATTTAAACAGAATGTTATTTTTATTATATATGGAACAAAAGTTCTTTCTGTAACTTTCTCAATAAGTTGGGATGGTGTTTCCTTATAGACATCTTTGAATAAAGCATGGCATTTTATTGCAATTTCTGGAAAACTGAGTATCTTAGGTGTCCTTGGATAACCTTCCCTCCCTTTGCATTTGAGAAAAGTATTTGAGTTTATGAAAGAAAGAAAAAGCAATATGATTTTGTTTTCAGAACCCAAAACATTACCAAATTCCAAAATGCAGGCTCCATGTTTTGCACAGAATATGAGATTAGATTAATGCACTCCAGCCTTGTACTTTTCCTATTGAACAGGAGTGAACAGGTAAACAAAAAACATTGAATTAATTTGGGATTCTGTCCAATTTGGGTACAACTGCCTTGTTTTCTATCATCATGTGCATCACTTAACTAAAGTTCACGTTCAGAAAGCTCTCATTTTATCTAAATAGAAGCTTCACAGCCTCTTGTGAATTCACAGTATAAATAGTTTGTAACTGTTTAAAATTGTATTTTTTACTCACATTAATAGAATCTAGAATCTTCACTGCTGCCAGGCTGCTATCCTTCTTATTAGTAACCTTATAGACTTTACCATATGTTCCTTTTCCAATAGTCTCAATAATTTCCCAGGTATTTGTGGGATCAGGTAAAGATTCCAGTCCAATCATATTCTGATTATACTGAAGCACGCCATAGAGTGGCTTCCTGAGAGAAATAGGATAAGAAAACAGTTGAACAGCTGTCATAATTATAGGAAATCAGTTGATTCAGTGATTCACATGGCCTACAAAGCAGTATCTTGATGGCTATGATGGAGGCTTTCATAAAAGAATATTATGTGACTGTTTTGCCAAATCTGGGGGCAAATTGTAGTGACATACACAGGAACAGTCATACGATTTCCTGCAGCCATTAAGATTTAGTTTTTAAGTTGTTGCTCCTGGTGGCTTAGTCAAGGTGAGCTTTCATATAATACTTCTTCAGAATATGGAGGAGATGGAGACTACATGCCAAGCTAACTAAGTGAATTTTGGAACATTTTGCCCAATATGGCATCCTGTAATGAAAACTCAGATTTTCCCAAGTATATTCATATAGTTCTCCACAAATGTGGATCTTTAAACTAGAGCCTACCCTGCAAACCAAAATATAGTGATAGCATCCCACCAATTAGATATTATATACAGTGTATAGGACAACTTCAATGTCTTCAACAGTTTGACTTCTTTTTTTTCTTAAAACAGCTTGCCAAGATCTACAGCTTCCAGATACACAGAGGAACAGGACAGATAATTTCTACAGAAGATTTCTGTCTTTCCCCTGAAAAATGATTCTGAAAAAAAGACAAACTCTTTCTTTATACTCTAAAAACTTCCAGCTGCCCAGAGAAGTTGATCTAAATCAACCATGATGTTCTTTAAAAGTTGAAGAGTGCCAGAACCCATTTTATCTTCAGTTACAGAGAAATTTAATCCCTTTCTTAAGAAAGATGAGGCTATAGATATCATTTGTTATTGCACAGATGCACTCTCTTTGCTCCAACTATGCTAGTCAATCTCACATTCTTAATATTCCTAAGAATTAACCTGACAGTAGAGGAACATCTGTCAAATGAACAATGCATCAATAAAACAAAAAGGGTATGGCAAATTTTTACATTATCACTCTGATAAAGGGTGTATCTGGCAATATTCGGTCCCAATTTTTTAGAATAAATGTATTTGCTAGATGGTATCCTACCAAACTCATATATCTATCTCAGATAAAGCAAAGAGAAAACAGAGATGCATTTGAAAACATTCATCACAAGGACTGCTCCCTAGAGTAACCCTCATCCATTTTAGAAAGATGTATGTCAACATTTATGGCTTATGGCATGAAACATTTCAGTTGAAATGATATTATGGCCATCTTGCTATTTTTCCTAATCTTATGTCAAAGACATACTATGAATGTTTATAACTTTGTCATTAGTAATAATAAGGGCTAATAAGAACAAGATTCAGAATAAAAGTTGTAGACCACCCAGAGCAACTCAGCAGTGTAAAAATTGAATAAATAATAATAATAAATAAAAACACCATCAAATATCAGTATCTGTGATGCACTGATGATGTTACCTAGTTTGGGTAATGAAACATCTGCAAGAAAATAACCAAGTTCAGAGAGCATCCAGGACCCCTCACATCAGTATCTGTCTACTCTAGGTCCTTTGGATAAAAATGCCAAATCCAGTCTAAACATCTGGCTGACTGTTCAGTGAACCAAAATAATAAATGTAATAGGCATAAGATTTTCAAAGGGTGGGGATCAGGAATGTCAATGGGGAATTATTCCTCTAAGACCCACGTAGGAAGAAAGACCCATCCAAGGTCTGGTTCAGAATTTGAAATAATCAAGTTGCTCAATATTTTTCATTCAAGGTTGTAAAACCAATCAATTAGTAATTCAAACAGTTTTTTCAGTATTTTGAGTTTCCCTAAGCACTGCCACTTTATTGGACAACAGATAAAAGAAAACAAAGAAAATTTACATCAACATAAGAAGCACAGAGGAGAAAACAGGAGGCCATAATGAACATTGTGTCCCTGAGCCTCTCAGTGTCTTAAATAGACTGGCAGCAGTAGTTGCTTCATTTAAATGTATTTTCCTCCAAGGATTTCAAAATGATGTCAATGGCTGTCTTCTGCTCCCATTTGATCTTCACAATAATCCTGAAAATTCACTTAAGCAGAAAGATAGTAAGTGGAAATGAGCCATAAAAATTGGCAACATACATGGGCCAAGCCTAGGTCTTCTCAATCTTAAAATTGGATCTTCTGGATACCAAGGATGGATGAGTTCAAACTGTGGGCTCATTTCTAGTTACAAATTTGTACTGGTGGCACACACTTGTAATTTTTGACACTCTTTCTAACATATTCCGTTCTTCTCAATATCATTTTATTTCTCTGGCCTTACAGCTTCATTTTCTTTCAATGTGTTTGACACAACTGACAGGAATGAGGAATGAGATTACACTGAGAAGCATCCCAGATGCCACTAACAACTGTCAATGACACACCTGAGTTTTCACAGCCAAACAACTTAAAGTGTTGTACACCAATGAGACTGAAGATGACAAGGAGAAGAGAAAAGCAAAGGAGAAGAACATCAAAAATAAGAATGTAGCAGAGGTGAGAAGAATAAAGGGGCACTGAAGAGTACAAAATAAACAATATTCATGTGTAGTGATCTTTTAACTAATTGGTTTAATTAATAAACAAATATACCAGTTTTGATAATAACCAGCAATAATATATCAAAGGATAACTGGTTTGGCTCTTTTTTATTAGAGGAGAAACCTATAGTTCCTTAAGATGGGACAACCTATCAAAAATCACTTCCAGGTTCAGAGTGTCAGAGAGAAAACTGATAAATCAAACCATCAGAGCAGAATTACATCATTTCAGGAGAAGTGAGTTTACAAAGGCGATCTCCAACTCTCATGTCTCCACTGTCCATTTTCCTTGTTTGTGTGACACTAAGCAAGGGCCGTAGAACTACACTACTCCTTCTGATCAGCCATGATCTTTCAGCACTAGTTTTTTAAAATGGTAGATATTTTTTAAGTATCAGCCTTCCAGCAGAGAGGCATTAACAAGTCATCAGTAACGTAAGCCTTCTGGACAGAGACTGCCACAGTCCTGACATTAGTCTGGACCTTAGTTCAAGACTGAAGTTTTATTGGGGAATCATGGTGTAAAATACTAATTTTTTTATTTTATTTTATTTTAGAATTTAAAATAGCCAGAGCAGATAGTCTCAGCATTTTCAAATGATACTCTGGTGTGGTGAAGCAGAAATTATTTTTAAAATGTTCCATATGTATAATACACAGTGATACTGAGAACATATGTGGTGCAAATTAGCTCTGGTTTGTCTTCTTTCACCGAGACACAGAAATGACCAGATGCAATAGTTAATTGCAGACATATCTTACAACAGAATAAAATAACTAAACAATAATGTTTGAGTAACATGTTGTATATATATATGTGCATTTCTGTGTGCTTACAGGCATGTTATGCATTTAAATACAAATTACATAACTAGACACCTTTCAATGTCTATGAATAGAGGAATATCTAATCATCCAATCCCTCCCCCCACAGAGAGAAGGAAGGCTAAAACATTTAATTCAGTGTTTGGAGTAGATTGTCTTATAAAAATTATTAAGATCTTGACTACTGTAGGTGAGAAATAATAAATATAAAATATATTTTCTTTTGAAATGATACCAGTTACCAGACATTCTCTTTAAAACAGAAGTCCTCAACATTTTTGACATTAGGGACTGGTTTCGTGGAAGACAATTTTTCCATGGGGGGAGGGGGGAAGGAGGAGCACACAACCTAGATCCTGCACATGCGCAGTTTCCCTTGCCCACCACTCGCCTCCAACTGTGCGACCTGGTTTCTAACAGGTTGGGGACTAGAGGTTGGGAACTCCTGTTCTAAAACATGTAACTACATGCTTTATTTTGCAAAAGGAAATATGCATGCACATGGCCAAAAGAAACCATACTGTTGACTTTTCCTCACTGGAAAACTTCAGAGAAAGACTACACAGATTCCTGTTAGCTATTCTTATTATTATGCCTCGGTGGAGTTGTAATTTATAAACAATATAGTAAAAGCAAAAGATCTACATCCCAAAATGTCACAACATAGAATTTGTTACTAGAGTTGGGAGTGGACAGGAAAATAATCAAGAAGAAAACAGAGAATTGGGGGTTCTGTCAAATCTTCCACAGCAGAGTATGATTAAGAAAGCAAGAATTATACAGATTTTAATTTTTGTTTATATAAAATTAGGGATAAAGTACAGAATCTTGTAATCTGCAAGAGGAAATTCTTTGGTCCTTGTTTCTTAATGGGTCCATTAAGGCAGAATGCCTTTGAACATTTTGAAGCCTTTCTTCACTGTTTTTTTTTATATCCAGGACTGAGCTCTGGTGTTTATGAAGTGATCTAGCCATGAACTCTCCTCTCCTATTAATAGAATAGAATAGAATAGAATAGAATAGAATAGAATAGAATAGAATAGAATAGAACCTTGGAGGTCTTCTAGTCCAGCCCCCTGCTCAAGCAGGAGAACCTATATCATATCAGACAAGTGACTGTCCAGTCTTTTCTTAAAAACCTCCAGTGATGGAGCACCCACAATTTCTGAAGGCAAGCTGTTCCACTGGTTAATAGTTGGTTATTTATTTCTAACAAATCTTTCATTACTTCCCAGTCTCCTCACAATCTCTCACAAATGCAAATGCCATCATATGAAATTATTTCTAATTTCAGTTGGGGGAAAATTATTCCAGCTTAAAAAAGGAATACATAGATACACCTGACAAGAGCAACCTTCACATTGCTAAGCTGGTGAGGTAGTCTGAGAAATGGGAACCAGATATAGTATGAAGACATTGAGAAATGAAGTTAGCTTAGATCAGGGGTGGAATGGGGCCACACAAGCAAGTGAAGGCACATGTGTGGGTTCTAGGTAGCATATGAAACCATGCCCCTGACCAATCCATGGAAAAATTGTTTCAGAAAGGATGGGGACCGCTGGCCTAGATGGTTTAGGTGGAAGGGAAATGGAAACCATGATAAGGTTTTGAAATGTAAGCACTGTTGATGAGTTGAAGTGCTGCCATATTTGACATGTCAGAAAACTATACCAGCATGAAATTTGTTGCCCTATTGCCAAGTCCTATCCTGCCAATATTGCCTCTGTTTCAAGTCACTGATTTAGAAATAAAGTATTCCACTGATTCCAAAATATTGTTTCCCCTCCAGACCAAGCTGAAACTCTTTTATAGACGATATAATTTACTGGGAGTTTCTGAAAGTAAATCTGCCACATAGGAAGAAGTTGAAGGTGTCTTGAACATGACATTTCAGATAAGGCTTGTCTGGGGGCTGGGCTATATTTGGCTCACTTTAAATCATTTCTTTTTGGAGGATTTCCTTCTACAAATCTCAGAACCACTCTAAAATGACAGGAACTGGAGGAGATAAAAGAAAATCCAAAGGTGAAATGAAATGTTCTCAAATTCTCTTGGATGATCCATTCCCAAATATGTAAGCTTTGCACATTCCTAACATTCCTAACACCTAAGAAGTGGAGGCACAAAGCCTGATATATTTTATACCTGTTAAAATTGCATAGTGTCAAAATAAGAGGGAAAAACTATTTCTACCTGGGTAAAGCTATCCCTTTCATGGGCTTGGAAGGAAATATATGCTTGGCCCTCAGTCAACAACTAAACAAAAAGATATTCCTTGAGGATCTATTGATTTTTTTTTTAAAGAAAGATCGTAGTGAGGCTGAAAGGAAGGAATCAACAAATTTGATGTTTCTGCAATTCTGACGACAGAAAACACAGACTTTCACTAAAATGTGGGTTTTTTCTTTTAATCAATTGATTTTTATTTGGTCATTGACAAACAGCTAAAACTAGAAAATCACAATTATTTAGAATTTAAAAAGGAATAAGAAAAGCTATTGTTCTAAAATACCTAAGAATGATTAGAAGAAATATTATGGCTTACTGTACAAACTATAGAACAGTATTAGCTATGGTCAAAGAAGTAAAAGCAAATTGATCTGATAATAACAACTTAAGATAAACAAGTTTGAATGACCAGTATGTTTAATAAGGAACAGATTCCTGGTGAGCATATGGGTAGAGGAGACAATACAAACTGATGTGTTTCCGTTGTTTCAATTATTCCTCCATCACATCTGGACACAGTCTCTGTTGAAAGGGGATTTTTTTGGTATCTCCCCGCAATAACAGTTATTTGAAGGCATTGAATCTGGCCTTGGGTAAGCCCCTTCAAAAATCAAAATCCAGGCAGAAGTTTCTGTTTTAATTAGACAAGCTTCACAATGGAACACCACTTTCAGAATGCAACAGGATACTTGAAAAATTGATCTCAAAAACTTAGACTTTACTCTTTCAAGAGAAAGGAGTGACCTGTAGGGGTCCAAATGAACTCCAAAAAGGAGTTGGGCTAGGATCGTAGCTGAAAATAATTTAATCACTGTGTTGTGTCCTGAGCCTGCAAGAGCTGAAAGCAGGTTCAGAATTGTTGCAAATGGTCCTGGGCATTCCAAAAGCTGCCCGGGACCAGACAGGGTGTGCCAGCCTTGTGTGCATGCGCAAGGTGTGAAAATGCTCAATTCCTTTTGGTTCACACTGTCTGGGTTTCTGGCCCTATAAAAGGCCTGCGTGCCTTTTGCTGCTTGCTTGGTTGTAGGAGAAGAGTAATAAAGAGCTTGTTGTTTCCACCATGTGTCTTCGTCAATTGCCAATGAGCTGAAAACACAACACTGGCGATGAAGGTGGGATCCCTGCAAGCAATAAAAAGAATTAAGGACTCACCAAGGAAGTCCTGACGATCCGGAAGACGGTGTCCTGCATTCGCGACTCAGCCTGCCAATACAGTGTCGCTGGAGGTGAGCTCAGGAAAAGGGCTCTTTCCCAAAGATCAGCTTGCAGAGGAGGCAATTAGCGACGGTCATAAAGTTTACAATGTCAAAGATTGGCCGCTTGACTGATTTTGATGTCCCCCACCCAGAGAGATGGAATTCCTACATAGCACGGGTGGAGAACTACTTTAGAGTAAATTAGATAAGAGAAGACGGCCTGAAGGCAGCAACTCTTCTGTGTGCCTGTGGACAAGAAGCTTTTGACATCACGGAAAATCTGGTGGCCCCTGCACTTCTGGAGTCAGTAACATACGCTGACTTGAAGAAGATGTTGAAGGAACACTTTCAGCCAAAGTTATCAGTCATCACTTGGAGGCACGCGTTCAAGCAGAGAGACCAGAGGCTGGGTGAATCTGCTGCAGACTTTATTGCTGCCTTAAGACAAACGGCCAGGCCTTGTGAGTTCAACCATCTGGAAGAAAGGCTGCGCGATTGCTTTGTGTATGGCTTAAGAAGTAGAGACCTCCAACAAAAGATGTTTGCAAAAGAAGAGGTCTCGTTCCAAGACACGTTAAGAGAAGTGGCAACTGAAGAAGCAGCAGGCGGTGCTGTGAAGGCTTTGCGGCTTGCCAGGTACCCTCCAGCCACAGCTACCGTCCATCAAGAGGACGCTTGAGAAGAATCAGAAGCGG